TACTGACAAAGCTAAAGGAGGGGAAAATGTATGTCCATGTTTTTGTAGGGAATAAAATCCAAAGACAGAACAGGCACGTGGAGCACCATCCAAAGAGAAGAGCCTGAAAATACATTTCTAATACAAAGAGTTAAAAGAATGTGTGCAATGGGAATGATAAAGGAAGTGAGAAATGAGCTCGAACATGTTATACCTCCCTTAAAAAAATGTCAGTTCTGCAGAATCCTACCCTTATCCCACAAAGGAGTCCGTGGGATTCTCATTTTGTAAATTCAATTTAAAGGGTTTTGGAGCCTCGTGGGAGCTTATCTTAAAAACACAAATACAAGATGACAGTTATTCCATGGGGACTCAACTGCACTTTTGTACTGCACCAGAAACTCAGAAATCAGTGACAATTCCTACTTCAAACTAGAATAGAACTCCTCCTTTATAACCTCTATTGAATCTCAAATAAGCTCAATTAAGCACAAAACCCTTGAAAACGTATCAACTGAAAACTAGTGAAGATTGTGTGCTTCAGTTTGTATTTTTTTTCTCCAAAATTCTAGTTCAGTTGGCTTATCTTTGTACACTGCAAGCGTGAAAAACATCACATCTGCTTGTGAACTTCCTTAAAAGAACTGAAATACACTTTACGTTCACTCCTGTGGTTAAAATGCCTTCCACAGGTTGAAAGAATTTAGATAATTTGTTTCAGAAAGAGAGATAAGGGGTTGACATTTAACCCAAGCCCAGGTGCATGTGGTTTCTTCAAAAATGTCAGCAGGTCACATGGGCTCCATGCACGAAGTCTGAAAAACAAAATTTAGCTCAAGTGCCTTCACTGAAATAGCAGAAAATCCTTGGGGTGGAACTGAGGCTGCTGTCTAAAATTACTGCAATAAAGCTTTTCATTTGGAGAATTCTTTGTTAAAATAAGGTTTTCTAAGACCTTACTGAATGCAGTTCAACTGTAATTTACATTTAATTTTAATTAAGTTTCTCTAGGTCTGAAGACTGTTCACCAAACCAGCACTGCCAGATTCAGGGTTTGTTATTTAAATGTATTTTAGACCAACCCAAATTAAAAAGTTCTGATGGAACTTGAAGGAAATGATCTTACCTTGCTGAGCTAAAGTGGATCTCAGCATTCCACTTTTAGACCAAATTTTCACTTGGCCATCTTCACCCACTGAAAATGAGCAGAGAAACCATCAAATTCAATGCAACAATTAAATCTAACAAACTTCCTACCTAGGAAACATTTGAGTTAAAATTAATTCAGGTCTTCTTACAGGTAATATAATTTATTTAGTCCTCCAAACATGCAAATAGAAAATATATTAAAGGAAAAAGTATTTAAGATGGTGATTTTGTTACTGTGAACAAGTCTCTTCTGTGATTAAGAGCACAGATTTCCTGGTGTGCTCTCATATTTAAAATGTTCAGCTCTGGCCCTGCAATTTAAGCCTCCCAGATCCAATTAATGAGGAAAAAGGTGCTCCTAGAAACTTCATGGAATTCTTCCATTCCAAGGTAATTTCCTTACCACGTTTCAGGTTTTTGGATCTGCCCAGTGTGGCTTTTAAGTGTTTAAAAAATGTAAAATAAATGGTAATTTTAAAATCTTATTTGTGCACGTTTGATGCTGTTGAAATGCAGCCATAAAAATATTTTGAGGGATGCAGGATCAATGATTTGCTCTTCTTCAAAGTCTAGTTGTGGTATAAGAGCAGTTGATGGTGGAAATAGTGATGAATTCCCACACTCCTCAGAAGTGTCATCCAGTCCCCAAAAAGAAAAACAACAAACAACAAAATAAAGGGTTCAAAAGGCAATTTTGAAAAGGCAGTTTTGACTTTTCCTTTGGAGAATTTCCTGAGGCAAATCTGCCTTTAAAAAGAACAATATTTCTCTCCCTGTGGGATTTCAGAGGAACAAGCCAGACAGAGTTCCTTGAAGCAGCATTTTTCGAGTCAAGACTTGAGTCTGGAAATGAGCAGCTCCAAAAATTATCTTCAGTACTTGTGCACTGAGTTGGAATTTGTCCAGAGGAATCAGCTGGCCCAGATCAACAGGAGGCTGCAGAGAATTCTGACCCCGACAGAAATCCAGCAAGGAGCTGCTCCCAGGGAACTTCAGCAGTTCCCCTCAACACCAAGATACAAGTTTTTGACAAAAAAATGCCAAAAAGCAACTAATTACCAAAAAGATTTAGGACAAAAAGGGTGTAGAGATGGAAACATTGGGAGATCACTCACAGGCTGCAGGTGATAATTACACCACTCCTGATAATTAAGGAAGAAAAAGGAATATTCAAGATGCTTTGAAACTTTGTTGGCTAAAAAAACTCCCAAATGTGCAGGGATAGAAATGGACCAACTTAGCAGCCTTTTTTTTGGAAAAAGGTAGAGAAAAATAAATCAAATATTCTCCTTTATGAAGTTCAGAACAGCCACAAAACCATCCAAGCACTCTGATATTAAAAACATTTACTTTCAAGTAAATAGGATGACATCTAATAAATAGGACCACTAAAAAGGAGGAATGTTTTTAGCAGATCTTCTATTAATTAAAATAGACAATGTTAAGCTAAAATAGAATTAATCAATGCAAAATTAACTTCTATTAAACAAGGTGATAACAACCTCAGTGATAATTAAGACCAAAAAAAAGTAACTTCAGTTATATTGTTGGGTTTTTTTGTTTCCATTTTCCCCCTTTTCACAGAATTTCAAGCAGTGTGTGAACACTGAAGAAATTCAGTTTTATTCATTTCAATTCAATGCAACTACAATTTAAACTATGAAATACTGTATTAAAAAAACAGAAGGTTTGATTTTCAAAGAGTTCTTCTGCTATTTTAGGTTTCAAACCACTTCATTAATGTACAAATGCTCACCTGTGACCAGTGCTGTTCCTTCATAATTCCACCTTCCTGCAAGCACAGCTCCACAATGTGCTTCCACACTTTTCTCCACTCTTCCTAACTTGGAAATCAAGTGGAACTTCCCTAAAGATATAAAAAGAATACACAATTTATATAAATTTATACATGTGTGTGTGATTTTATATATACATAATAATACATACAAAATTATTAAATATAGAATTAAATTGTATACGCTAAATTAATGTATCAAATTATTGATTAAATTATATAATATTGCTGTAATGATGTTACCTTCTGTTAAACACAGACAAAACAAGAAACCAGCAAGAAGAAAAAGAACAAAACATAAAATTGTTCCCAGCTCTGATCACCCCAAACAAACGAGCTCTTGCAGAACAACCTGCAAACCAGCCCCAATGTTGTATTTATTTCCCTTCTTTATCTATAATTTTTGTTTTACCTATTTCTTTTTCTTATGTCCCTCAAAAGCTTGCAAATCCCTCTGGGGACACAAGTGCCTGATGTTCTTGCAGTGTCTGGGAGCTCCACGTGCAGCCCAGAGAGTCCTTGGGTTGGTTTTGGTGGTTTGTGTTTTTTTTTTTTTAAAGATCCAAAAACCATCTGAATCTGCTCAATCCCAAAATACTGGAAAAGCTGGAACAATCCAACCACGGGTGAGGGAAGTATTCCTGCCTTCTGGAGCTGTGATGGAAACTCAGAGCAGCCAAAAACAAAGCTATTAATGATTTCAACAGAAGCAGGAGGAAGTGTCTCTTTCCAAATGAGGGATGTTGCTGAAATCCAGGAAGACCAAATTTAAATTAGACCAAAGAGCAGACAAAGAGGGCTTGGAAACATGTGGCAGAACAAATGCATGGCTTAAACCAGCCCAGGGATTCCAATGAACTACTTTAAAATCCAATTATTTTAATATTATTTGATTTAACCTGCCAGCCAGTGAAGCACTACGAGGATGTTTCAGAGCGCCCAGAACTTAAGAGACAAAACAGAACATCCCAAAAATAACAAATAAAGCCAAACTAAGTCCAAGGAAAAGCATCCTGGTGGATCTGTCACTAAATAACCACAAACAAACACCAGGGCTCTCCACAGGATCAGTCAAATCGATACAATCACACTTTGCTTTTTACTTTTAAGCACCTGAACAAAAAGGCACCATCATCCAACTAAATCTATGGCAGTGCAAGGTTTCCAAGGAAAGGATTTTTGACACTGATGGGAAGAGTCTGGTTTGGATAAATCAGTTTATTTATTTAAAATATCATAGAATTACAGGATGGTTTGGGTTGGAAGGGACTTTAATCTCATCTCATTCCACTATCCAAAGGCACCTTCCACTATCCCAGGTTGCTCCAAGTCCCCTCCAACCTGGCCTTGGACACTTCCAGGGGGTTAATTTAAAGCATTCCATTATTGTATAATTATAAAATATATCTTATCTAATTAATGCATAACTTATAGATCATCTCTCAAGTCTGAGAATCTCATTTTCCATGTACAAATAATAACTGGATTCAGAGGAATTCAATGGTGTTTCCTCCAATTAAATTGCAAAAATGGCCTTAAATTAATACATTAAAAACATGGTTTATTTTCTGTACTTGTTCCATCTGTAGCCAAGACCTTTTTCATTGCACAATAATTAAACCTCTTATCCCATGAATGTTCCCATGCCATCACCTACAGTGCTCAGCAGTAAGTGGTGAGCTCTTCCCAGCCATTACATTTTTAAGGATATAAAGAATTCCCTGGTATTTTATATATTGAACCAACAGCTTCCACTGACCCAGGCAGAATCCCTGGGAAAATTTAAAATTAAATTTAAGCAACACCTCAACACATAAAACTAAATTCAGATGGAAGAAGAGGAAGCTGGCGAGGACCTGAAGGTTTTGGTGAGGCCAAATTATCAGGAGTCTGGGATAAAATCCTCTTATACAGGGAAACATCCAACTCCTTTACCAATTTTTTGCATCTTTTCTCACTCCACAAGCTCCTGCTTCTTTCACAAGGCACTTTTCAAATAGGGAAACAGCAAACTGTAGCCTTGCAGGGAAGAATATGTTACATATAAAAGCAGGCACCCAGAATTCATCTGGAAAAAATGTGATCACTGCTTAAAACTGTATCACAACCCTCCTGCAGAACAGGGCCAGATTCAGTTTTCATGGACAGCATCTTTACTTCTGCAGCTTCTTTACTTTTCCAGCACCTGAATTTATAAGTGATGACAGTGAAATGTTTTTTTTTTCACTGCATTCACACGTGGAGGTTCCTCCAAAAGCCACGTTTGTTCCCGTGGATTTCTGTTCTTCAGCTTAACACCGAGGGAACAGAGACTTCCAAATTACAACTTACTGCCTTAAACACATGAAAGGGAAAATTTTAGCCACATGCCTGCAGTAGGTAGCTGCAGATTTGTAAAGTACTGCTCCTTTATTTTTATTAAGTTCTGAAGGCAGAACTGTCCTCGATCTCAAAGTGACTCTCCAGTTTTGGAGGAATTGCAAGTGGGAGATTCACACCCCATTCAAATATGGAATATAAAACGTGTATGTTTTCTTCATTTCGTTTCTTAGACTCTTAAATGCTGACCCAACATAAAACTATCAATAAAAAGTGAAAAAATAGGTCTAATCACTTATGATCTGTGCTTAATTTGCCATTTAAAGCTGAGCATATTCTTTGTTTTTGTAAAAAAACCAGCAACAAGATCAATGTAAGTAGGAAGGAAAAGAACAATGTCCCCCAAGAGAAGCATCTCAGAAGAAAACCCAAGAGGATTAAATTTACATTTGCTCTAATTTCACAAACATCTGGAGTTCAACCAGGAATTAATGCAACCCTGTAAAGACATTAGACTCCTTTTCCATTGGATTCAGCGAGTTTCCAGGAATCCTTAGCACCCAGAGGAATTAGTTGCTGCAGGAAAACTGCAGGAATAAGCTGTTGCAGGAAAATTCATGCAGGGAGAAAAAATGTGGCTGTGTGCAAAATCAATTTTTTGATTTTGAGGAGCAGGGAAAACACCCCTCCCACGGAACCCTCAAACCTTCCCGCTCCCGAAATAACGTCCCGTGTATTTGAGTGACAGAAACACTAAATGGTGTGAAATGATAAATATTTTCAGCTGACTTACCATCAGAACTTGTCAGAACAAAGCTCTCAGAGTGGGATTGCTTCTTCCCACCGATGCTCCTGGGAAACCAGTGGAGATCTATGGGATAAATCTCGTCGGGAAGTTTGACCACCCGAGTTGTCTCGCTGGTTAAAGGGTTCCATTTCATGATCTGGTGATCATCACTGCAGGAGTAGAGCTCATCAGCTGTTGTCCACCCCACACAGCTCACCAATTCCTTATGTTCAGTTCAATTAAGGAATAGGAACATTTGAACTGGTAAAAATAAGCTTAAAAAGTATCCGAGCTACACAAAAGTGAAGGAACGATACAGGAAGATGATTTTCATAAGATTACATGGAATGTTTTGCATAAGCACTATGAGTTTTCTTTCTTTTTTTGCTCTTTTGTGGCAAGAAAAGAGCTGATAGGAATTCACCCCAAAATAAAGGAAACTCTCATGTAAAAATACAATTACTATGATTATGCAAAGTTATTGAAACACAGCTGAAATGTTGGGTTACACCTTTAGAAGGGTCTGAGTGCACAGTGCAAGTGCAAAACATCCCCTTGTCATTCAAAAGTGTTGCTTTATTATCACATAAATTATAAATTGTTATATATCCAATATATTAATAGGAAAATTCCAGTTTTGTTTATATCTGCTAATGCAGGCAGATAAATCACTGCTCTTATTTGCTGTCTGGGAAAGCTTTTAACTTATCGCTACAAATAAGAAGGAAAACTCAAAAAACTTTCCAGCAAAATATTGAGAGCTTCTGAAGTGAAATTATTACTCAAAAAATATTCAATATCTCTTAAAACATTGTGCTTAAAGGCTGCACTGAAGGACAAGGGGAAGAAAAGAAAAAGAAACAAAAAGCCACCTGCATTTTACTGTAACAGGAAAATATTTTCTGGAAAAGTCTATTCAGAATGAACATGGTGTTCTACGTTTTTTTTGTGTGGCAAAGGATATGTTTTGGTTCCTTTAAAAGTGAAGTCTTCAGTCTCATCTCAGTTGTTCAGGTGGAGCATTAAAAAGCATACATTAGAACTGTAATACAAGAAAACAAATACATATATATGTAAGCAACATAATATACACGCATATATAAGCAGCCAAAATTAAAATGGAAGAGATTAGTATTAAAATAAAAAGTTTTGAAGTAATACCACATTAGTACTGTGGGAAAATAAGCATGAAAACAGACCTTTTTCATACAGTATCCAGCTGTAAAACTATTATCTTGCTTAGTATAAGCAGAGTGGACAATTCAAAGAAAAAGTGATACTGGGAACAGAGAATCCTTGGATTGTTAAGGTTGCAAAAGACCTTTAAGATCACCAAGTCTGAAACACTATAGGTTGAAACACTGAAGTCCCCTTGTGCTGACACACAGCCAGGAGGGTGGATAGAAGGGAAAATAATATTTTCCTTTCAAAGACAAGCCCAGAACTTTACTGTAATTTTTGAATATGGTTTAATCGCTCTGTACGTGCCCCCAGGGGGATGAACACCCACAGGTACATCCCTCACCACCCATCCCACGGATCGCTCCATACAGCTCCCAAGGGATCCAGTGGCGGCTCCGCTGGAGGTTTAGGAGAGATGGGGCAATAACCGGGAGTTGTTCCGGCCGGGGGACGCCAAACTCCGGGACACGGACACCGCCTCCTCCCTCCGGAGCTGCTGGGAGAGGAGGAGATCGGGATCAGCGACCAGGGAGGAGAGGGAGCAAGAGCGGGATAGAGGAGCGCAGGGAATGCCAGAGAGCAGGACAGGGGGAGAGCACAGGGAAGGAATCCAGTGGGCAGGATGGGGGCAGCGCAGGAATGCCAGAGACCAGGATAGGGGGGCGCCGGGAATGCCAGAGAGCAGGATGAGGGGGGATGCGGGGAATGCCAAAGAGGAGGATGGGGAGAGTGCAGGGAAGCAATGCCAGAGAGCAGGACAGGGGGAATGCGAAGAAGGAAAACCAGCGGGCAGAACGAGGAAGCGCAGGGAAGGAATTCCCGAGAGCAGGATGGGGGGGGGGAGAGCAGGGAAGGAATTCCAGAGAGCAGGATGGGGGGGAGCACAGGGAAGGAATTCCAGAGAGCAGGATGGGGGGGCAGCGCTGGGAAGGAATTCCAGAGAGCAGGATGGGGGGGAGCGCAGGGAAGGAATTCCAGAGAGCAGGATGGGGGGGAGCGCAGGGAAGCCAAACCAGCGGGCAGGACGGAAACACCAACCCCTCGGGGCAGCATCGGCCCTCACAGCCCGCTCTCCGCCCGCGCCAACACCCCGTTTCCAGCTTCCCAAGCGGCAGATTTTCCAGCACCCCCGGGCTGCGCCGGGCTCGCGGTTCCCCCGCCCTCACTCACCTCCCTGTGCCCGGAGCTCTCCCGCCCTCGGGGGGTCCCGGCGCCCGCCCCCTCGCCCCCCTCGGGGTGACTCAGTCCTGCCGCTGACAGAGGCCGGCGGCCGCCCCTTTACCTGCGCGGGCAGCGGGGGGACAGCGCAGAGCGGCGGCCGGACCGCGCTGCCGCCGTATCCCGGGGTAATCCCGCCTCTCTCTCCCAGTCTCCCGTCGCCTCAGGAGCGGCGGGACCCGCTCCCCCCGCGCCCAAGCGCCGCCGTCTCTATGGCGACTTCTCGCGAGACTCCATCTTCTTCTTCCTCCTCCTCGCCCTCCGCCACCTCACGAACAGCCCCCCCCGGAGGTGCCACGGCGCCGCCCGCTAATTAGTAAAACCCGCTTCAAAACAGCCGCGCGCCCACCGTTTTTATTGATTTTTTAAAATTTTTTTTATTTTTTTTTTTTTTACTTTTAGAAGTTCTTTTACAGTTTGTTGTTTTTTTTTTTTAACCATTTTTAAACCGGCGCGCGTCGCCCGGCAACCGAGCGCCGCCCACTGACCTACTTCTAAAATTAAAGCTAAACCCTCTCCGCGCGGGGAAGGGGCCGCGGGGGGCCGCGTCCCCCTCGCCCCCTAAATGCCTCCCTTCGCCCTGGTTTTGCCCCCGGGCGGCCGCTCCCGGCTGGTCCCGGCTCTCCCTCCCCTGCCCGCGGTAACGAACACAAGATGGCGGGCGGGGCGGCGGTGCCGTTCAAACCCCGGGCCCGGCCCCTCCCGTCCCAGCCTGCCCCGCGCTTTTCTAACGAATTTCGGTTCGAGTTCGCCGTTTCGGCGCCATTTTCGAGTGTGGAAGCGGCCGAGCTTCCACAGCAGCCGCGGCCGCCCGCGCCGCCGCCGCCTCGCCGGGGCTGGGAGCCGCCGGGACGAGCAGGTACGAGCTCGGCGGGAGGAGGCGGCGGCGGTTCGCCCTCAGGGCGGCGGGGTCGGGGGGGCTTCGCCCGCGGGGGGGAGAGCGGCAGAGGAGGTGCCCTTAGGGGGGCTGGGGGTGCTGAGGGGAAGGTGCTGAGGGGGAGACAGGGATTGTTGAGGGCAAAGGCAGGGGGTGCTGAGGGGAAGATGCTGAAGGGAAGGGTACGGGGTGCTGAGGAAGGTGCTGAGGGGGAGATAGGAGACGCTGAGGGGGAAGACAGGGCTGCCGGAGGGGAAAACAGAGGTGCTGAGGGGGAATATGGGGTGCTGAGGAGACGGTGCTGAGAGGGACGATAGGGGTGGTGAGGGGAAGGTGCTGAGGGAGAAAGGCTGAGGGGAAGGGCAGGGAGTGCTGAGGGGGCGGCGGGTTCTGCCCCGCGCCTTCTTTTTCCACTTCCCCCTCGCCCTGAGGGAGGAGAAGCGGCGGCAGCGCCTCTCCCACGGCCCCGCCGAGGGTCACACCGAGGGGTCCGGGCTCGGCGGGGGCATCCCGGCTACTGTCGGGTTTGGGGAGGGGGATCACACGGGGGCTGTGCGGCCCGAGGGTCCCGCTGTGCCCTTGGGGACCCTCGGAGACCCGCCGAGGACGGGAACGCGTTTGAGTAGCGGAGAGACCCGATTTTAATCTGCTTAAAGCAGAGACCCTTCTGCAACCAGCTCTGCTTTGATGCTTGGAGGATGGGAGAGAAACCCTAAGAAAGCCCTTAACGACTGGCCATTTACTTAAAAGAGTTGGACTCGACGATCCTTGTGGGTCCCTTCCAACTCTGAATATTCTGCGACTTGGAAGGAGCGTGACAAGGGCGCAGTCGGGCTCCTCAGGCTTAAAAAAAGCCCCGAGTTTGTCCCTGACAGGGGTTGTCGCAATCAGATTTAATCGGCTGTTAATGAGGAAGCTTTTCTGTCCGTCTCTGGCTCTTGTTTTTCGCCGTCCCCGTAAGAAAAACGGCGCTTGGCAGGAGCCGGTGGAGAGATGCTTTTACCAAACACCTTCGAGCTGGCTCGGGGGAGGGGCTGGGCACGAATTTGTTAAATTTGTTAGAGGCTATGTGGCAGCTGATTTATCGCGATGTAAAAGCTGAGGTCAAGTAGTTCGGCTTGTTCATTCTGTTGAAGTATCTGAGGAGGGGGGGAAGGGTTGGGAAGGTAAATAGGTCTATATTGCACAATTCTGTTGGAGTGGAGCAAGTTCGGGGGAAAAAAAAATAATAAATAAATGTGGTGCTTTGAGAGGCTGTAATTGTCTGAGACAGCCATTGCGGAACACTTCTGAACGGGGGCATAGACTCAAATTGCCTGAAAATGAGTTGTGTCTCTCATTTCCCCCCCTCCCCCATTGTCCCAAATGAAGGACTCTCATGAGAGTGTGGGTTGGGGGTAGGTCTGCAAACGTCAAATGATTGGCACCAATTGTAAGATGACTTTCTAACCACGTCAGTTTTTTATCTTGTGAGAAGTAAACTTTCTCATGTCTGTTTTTCTGCGAACTCACTTCGCCACTTGCTGCGATTTCAGCTCTTTGGGGAGAGTTTCGCTCCTGCCCTCGTCTTTTCTTCTCCTCGGGCGCTTTCTATTTCTCCGTTTTGGGAGCTGTGCTGAAGTGCCAGCTGATGGCTTTTGTAATGCTCGTTCTTGCTCAGTTGACTTTAATATCACAACTAGATGAAGGTATTTCGTTTTGCTTTCTCTGGGAAACGTTGAATGCTGGCAGGAGTGGTTGTGTCGTGTTTTGTGAGATGAGTGTGTCGATTTAAATTGTTTAAGAGTCAAGTCTTTGCTATAATTGCGCAGGTCTTTTGTTTATCTCTGTATCTATGTATGAATATTTTGCACGGATTATTGAAAGTAAAACGAGTGTCGGGTCTGAAACGTAAAGAGTTCTTCCAGGAGAGCACAAACGTGTGGCTACTTAGTTTGTTATTCGATTGTGTATTTAACTCTTTTGTCCCCAGCATCACGGTGACTTTCTCTGAGCAAAGTCACAGCACAGAACATGTCCCTGCGAGTTTTCAGCAGGTAGATTCTGGCTGTTTTTACAGATTAGGCTTATCCCATTGATTTTGGGGGGTGATGCATCTGAAAGTATATCCTTATGAAGCTAATCTTGATAACTTGTTTGAAACGTGGAATTTTTTTGTCTTCTAATTACCTCTAGTCCTTAGTTTCTAAGTGAGTCAAACGGCTGGGCAGACATGTAGGTAAATTCCTTAGGGGGTTGTAGTTCAGTGCTTAGATCACGGGGTTTTCTTGTTTGTGTCAGCAAAGGAGATAGATCCCTTCGGTAGTTTGAGTGCTTGGAATGGAAGGGGAACGGCCAACAGGGATCATGGCAAGCAAGAGCACCAAACCCTCCACAGCAGCCCGTCGGAAGGGCAGGGAGCCCTTGGAGGAGTCCTCCAGTGACATGGAAGTGGAAAACGAAGGCAAGAAGCAGCAGCTTGACAAAGGTCCTCCTCAAGGTAGGTCTGGCTGTCGGTGCTGCTGTGAGGAGATGGTCGAGCCTTTTAGCAGCAATCGAATTTACCAACTGTTCCCTTTGACAAAGGAATGCTGAAAGCCTTGTTTAAACTGCTTTTAAAATTGTAAAAAGGGCTTGCAAAGAGTTAAAGGGTTTGGCCCGGTGCAAGTGCAAAAGCAATTTGTAGACTTTCTCCTAATAAAGCATATTTCATATTCCTGATCTGGAACATTGTGCTTAAGATTGTGGTACAACAGCAGGATTTTTCAAATTTATAGGCAGCCAATGGTATGGGATTTCTTGGAATGGAATAAATGTCAAGTTTATTTACTTAACTCTTAAAATGATTTGACTTTCTTTTTCATGAAGCAGTGTATTTTCTTGAGTTCCTCGAGTTGAGTTTTTGCAGAAAATATCTGGCCAAACAGCAGCTGTGTGACATTTTAGGTAGCCAGATGTGCAGTTATTAAAGGAAGGTACTTGACAAATAGATGAATATCTTTAAATCAGTGGCAAAAACTGCTGCCTCTTTGAAGAAGGAGTTGCCGGTGCCTGCTGAAAAGCTGCTTTGCTGATATCCAGGGGGCCAGTTTGTTTTCGTAACAAACTTCCTGTCTTTGCAGAGCAGTTGTGCTGTCATTACAGCTTTCAGAGCCTCGTGCAGAGCTCCCCAAATCTTGCAGAGGGACTCGTGAGCACGCCTGAAATGTGGCTTTGCACTTATTAATTAGAAAGACTTGGCCTGTTTCGGATTTGCTGCCTTATTGTGCTGGTTGGAGCTGCTGTAATTGCAGAGTGCCTGTTAAAGTGTGTTGGAATAAGAATTACATAATGAAGGAACAAACCCCCCAGTCCCTCGGTGGGACATCTGAAGTATCTCTTAAAAAAAAGATTCAGTTGGTGGAAAGAAGGATTTTAATTCCACTTAGCTGATGTTAATAATTACAGGCCAAAGTGGAGGTTTGGTTCCTACAGAGGTGATGTTTGCTTTTTCGGTTGAACATTTGAAAAGGTGTCAAGTCATTGAGAGCTGACAGTTGGTTGTTGTTTTGTTTTGTTTTTTTTTTCCCTTTCTGTTTAATTCGGATGGTTTTTAGCAGTGTCAGATGAGGTGGTGGATACTCGAAGTTTAGAAGAGATTTTGGGTAGCATCCCTCCTCCCCCACCTCCAGCAATGACCAATGAACCCGGTGCTCCTCGGCTCATGATAACTCACATTGTAAACCAGAACTTCAAATCCTATGCAGGGGAGAAAACTCTGGGACCTTTTCATAAGGTATCTTTCTTTTCCCTTAAGTATTTTTTAAATGAAGGTAAGGCTTTGCTGTGTGTTAGTATTCCTTGCTGTATTTTCATGTGAACTGACCTCAAAAGAACTGAAAGAAATTTAAGTTTTAGAAATACTTCTGTAGCAATATTCTAAATTTTCATTATTGGACAGTAGAGAAAACAGTTAAGTGCAACTTTCTGATCCTGTACAATTTTAATTTGTCAGCACAGCCTAAAAAAGCACACTTTTCTCTTGATTTCGTTTGCTGGAGAACTTTTAGGGCCATGTTTGAAGAATGAGAATATTTTTCAGTGCCCACAAGAGACTTACGTGGCTAATCATGAAACTTTCCTTGCAAACATGCTGGCGAAGTGCAGCTCAAATGCAGAGAGCTGAGCTCAGCTGAGGTGTGGGGGTTTTTATTAAGTTGTGCTGCTTTACCTTTGGCAGCAAACCCCGAGCTCTCAGCCAGTCAGCAGCTGCACGGACCTGAAAGAATCGTGTTTGAAACATTCCCAATGCACCGGGTGATGTGCACTGGGCAGCTCTTTCCCTTTGAATATCACTTTTGGTTTTTTTCCCTTTTCCTTGCACAGCGTTTTTCATGTATTATCGGGCCAAATGGCAGCGGGAAATCCAATGTCATCGATTCCCTGCTTTTTGTCTTTG